AGAGAGAGAGAGAGAGAGAGAGAGAGAGAGAGAGAGAGAGAGAGAGAGAGAGAGAGAGAGAGAGAGAGAGAGAGAGAGAGAGAAATCTGCTGTGGATTCTTAAAAAGGTCATCCACCTTGTCAAATCTGCTATGGATTCTTAAAAAGGTCATCCACCTTGTCAAATCTGCTATAGATTCTTAAAGAGGTCATCTACCTTGTCAAATCTGCCACGGGTTCTTAAAATGGTCATTCACCTTGTCACTGCAGTGTGAGTAACATCAAAAACAGTTTCCGAAGGTAAGGTTTCTGTTTGTAAACCTCTTTTGGAACTATTTCATTTTCCTTGTATGTCTCGAAATTCCACTTCTATGGAGCCTACGTTGCTGCTTGTAAGTACTTTTGGGCATAGCTACAATCCGGACACCCGGACAGGGATCCGGACTGTTCGGAGTCCAGTGTCTGGTCCAGGTTTCCGGATCCCGGTACGGATGGTGGGAAAATGGGGGGTAGGCCAATTTTTTTCCAGGCGGCCCAGGTCGTTTTCTTCCAATATGAGCCGGCGGAAAGCATTGTTGGGTTGGTTACCTCCCTCCGTTTTCCCTCCCACCCACCCCTTGCATGCATCCCGTTTCGGTACAGTGCCACGTCAGCAGTGCAGATCAGCTGTGCCACGTCAGCAGTGCCAAGTCACAATGCCACGTCACAGTGCCAAGTCACAGTACCACGTCAGCAGTGCCACGTCACAGTGCCAGATCAGCAGTGCCACGTCCGCAGTGCCAGATCAGCAATGCCACGTCCGTAGTGCCAGATCAGCAGTGCCACGTCCGCAGTGTCAGATCAGCAGTGCCACGTCCGCAGTGCCAGATCAGCAGTGCCACGTCCGCAGTGCCAGGTCACATTGCCACGTCAGACATAGTGCCACGTAAGCAGTGCCACGTCAGACACAGTGCCATGTCAGCAGTGACGTTCAACACAGTGCCACATCAGCAGTGCCACGTCAGCAGTACCACGTCAGATGCAGTGCCACATCAGCAGTGCCACGTAAGCAGCATTGCCACGTCAGCAACATGACGGGCCTGCCAGGCCAACTGGCCAATGAGACCATTGCCGCCTACAAGCAGCGTTGCCTGGCTCAAATAGAGGCCGAGGAACAATGCCTGCTGGCAGTCGAGGCTGCCCGCAAACAAGCTGAAGAGGCAGCAGCWGCAGAGAAACTGCGGCTACAGGCCGATGCAGAAGCAGATGCCCAGGCTCGCCGAAAGGAAGCCCAGGATCTGCTGCAGCGGCATGAAGCCAACAGCATCGACAGACTCAAGTACTGGCATTTTCAACCGCACGGCGACGACGCAACACCGAAAGAAAAGCACAAGGAGTTCCTCTCCAAACTCGTGACGCGGTTGTTGTATGCTTGCAACTACCAAAGGTCAGAGTTGGAGAGACAGCACCGGGACCTGACGCAACAGCATCAGGA